ATAGCCATATGTAGCTAGTCATATGTGGACAGTACAGATATAGAACATTTCCATCATCACAGAAAATACTGCATCACAGAAAATACAGAATCTAGGATCCTACAGAGTAGATATCAAGGAACAGGAACCCATGAGAGGGAATAAAAGAACTAAGGCTTAGGTAACAAGACTGAGCAACATGAATCTAGCCCAGGAGTTTAGGTATTGAGCAAAGTGACACAGCTGGAAGAATTTACTCTTTTGCCACAGGCTTCCTGAAGTCATACATGCAAGAAATTGTGTATGAGTGGTAACAAAGCCCAAACTAGTATCTGATAAATTGTATACTCTATCTCATTATGTCATAAATGGCTTCAGAAGAGGAGGTGGCGTGTTGAAAAGATGACAGGAGGCAAGAGTGAGATAACCTTGCCCATGAAGAATCATTACTAGAATGTTTGGGCAGTGGCTGGCATATTGAATGCCTGCCTTCTGTTTCTCATTTCACTTCCCTTCTGTATCATTTAAGATATAAAATTGTGCATTTTGATGATAATAGTCACACTACAACTATCCTTAGATATATTTCAGTTATTCTTTTTGCATATTAAATGAATAGGGTAAAAGGCAAACAACTGACTTACTCAAACTGAGCAGAAAAGAATAAAATCTTTAATCTTGAATCTCATTGTGTTTAACTGTTTTGGATTCTTTAAACATATATGACTCGAAATGTACATACAATGTGTATTGGAAACAATCAAAACATGTATACAAGTACTATTCCCAAATACATGGAATGGTGTTAACGTACTTGCAGCATTGAGCCATTTTGGTTAGACAATTATAGTAGCAGCTTACTTGTACTTTTGGTGAAATAGTAAGCTAATGATGTAGCCGTTAATTTGAATTTAGCAGACATTTTAAATATAGGTTTCTTTTACAGAGACAAAAGTTGCAATTTAAAGCTCTTTGGTGGTCTAAAAACAGCTTAATTCTGTAGTAGCATGGTAATAAGTACTAATCCAGCTTATACAGTGATTGTAGTATGTCATGTTTGTGAAAGATTGCTTAACTGCTTTCTCTGGGTTTTATGTTAATTTAAAAATATTAAACATAAAAACCTTATAACATCTTCATGCTGAGATAAACTGTTCAATTTAACTTGTGCTCAAGCAGCAGCTGTCAGGAATTATCTTGTTCCTGGTGGTTTTTGCTATCACCTTGTTCCTTTCCTTCTAGAGACACACTGTGGGATGATAAAGTGCACCTTGTTAGGATTTATTGCTTAAATAATACCTGAGGCAAGATGAACATTGGTAGCCCAGGGATTAGCTGCTGATCAAGTGATGTCATTCATTGTATTATTATCAGCTTTTAAAAATTGATAGTAGGGTGCAGAGTAAAAATTGCCTATGGATCACCTGCATTCCTTTTGTGGGCATATTCATTATTTCTTTTTGGGTGTTGTTGAGCTTAATATTTGAGATATTGCTTATTGACCAATTTACCATTATACAAGGAAAAAAGAGAAATGATGGAGATACTTTCCACTATTTAAAAGTAGTGAGGGCGATTTCAAGGTTAGTTGTAAAAAATACAACGAATTTTCTTTTAGTGATTAAACTGAAAGCGGTATTGATGTGGACAGTCTCAAATGGTGAATATTATGAAAATTATTGTCATTTTCATGTGAGTACCTTGACCTCTTTTATTTGGGAGGTTTTCATTGGAAATTTCAACTTTCATTGGAAAGCACAACTTTTGGTTGTGGATAAGCTGGTGGGCAGGGGGACACATGGTAGAAATAGAGTAAAGGACTCCTCTCGGTTAAACATTTGCTATAGATGGTCCACCCTGAGGATAATCTTCATGTAGAAATTAACAATTGGATTATGGCTAGAAATGCAGATATGATGGGTTTATTGTTTATGTATTGTAGAATTTTTTTCTTCTACTTAACTGCCATTTAATGCCTATTACTTCAAATTTATAGATTTATAAATGTATAACTTAACCCAAAATTTGCAGTAGGACAATGCCTTGCTCCATGAAATCTTTTAATAGACTCTCCACACTCCCCTGAAGCTGTGAATTACTACACACCTGTTCACGTAGATTAATCAGTTGTTAATGTTTTTGTACATTTTTTATTTTTCTCTCTCTGTAAATATATACATATTCATATTTATTATTAGTAGTAGCATTTTGGCTGAACTAATAGTTTATTGCAAACATCATGCCATTTCACATGTAAATAATTTGACATGAATCTCCTAAGAATAAGGATATTCTCCTGTACAACAGGGCACGGTGGCTCAAGCCTGTAATCCCAGCACTTTGGGAGGCCGAGGCGGGTGGATCACGAGGTCAAAAGATCGAGACCATCCTGGTCAACATGGTGAAAACCTGTCTCTACTAAAAATACAAAAATTTAGCTGGGCATGGTGGCATGTGCCTGTAATCCCAGCTACTTCGGAGGCTGAGGCAGGAGAATTGCCTGAACCCAGGAGGCGGAGGTTGCAGTGAGCCAAGATCACACTATTGCACTCCAGCCTGGATAACAAGAGCAAAACTCCATCTCAAAAAAAAAAAAAAAAAGAAATTAAAGATTGGTAGAAATTTGTGTCTTATATTCAGCTCATACTCAAATTTTTCCTATTGTCCTACTGATGTCCTTAATAGGTGTTCTTTCCCATTCCATTATCCAATGAAGGATCACATACTTCCATACTGGATTTTGTTTTGAGTATCTGTATTTTCTTTAATCTAGATTTTTTTTTTCTTTTATGACATGACATTTTTGGAGATCCCGAGAATTATTTTGCAGAATATTTGTCTGGTTATTTCTCACCAAATTCAGATTAGGCATTTTTGACAGGAATACTACACTGATGATTTGTATCTTTCTCAATGTATCACATTTGGAAATACATGGTATCACTTTTTCCCATTATTGGTCATAGGAAGTTTGATCACTTGGTTAAATTGGTATCTACCAGATTTCCCCATTATAAAGATTTTTTTTTGTAATTAATAACTCATATGAAGGCTGCTTTTAATGCATTTTTGCCTTGTATGTGAAAAACATTGTGCTTGCTCAGGTGATAATAATTAAGAATGGGCATCATTGCTTGCCATAGTATGTATGTATATCAGGGATGGGGATGGTAAGACAGAATAGAAGGAGATGAGGAAAGATTACTCAATAACTAGACCCAGAATTTGCCATGTATTCCATTTTAAGGAAGATAATGTTTGAAATTAATATTTTGTTGTTTCCTCTGCTAAAGGTAAGATTTCTAGGTAAGCAAATATCTTCATATTTCAGAATTTTCAGTATAATTTTTAGAGAAGATTATATGTGGTAGTAGTAGGGGGAATATGTTCGGACAAAATAGGGCATTGTTTGACCTTTTTTTTTTTTAATTTGGGTATAGACAGACAATTTTAAAAAATAAATTCATCTCCTTGGTAAGGTTTTTATTTTGTTTGTTTTACCTTAAAGAGATAAATTATAACATTAATATGGCTATGTAGGTTTAAAGAGGGATTGCTGGCTTTTGGTCTTACGTGCCTTTTTTAGCCCATGAAGAAGACACTTGAATTCCTACTTACGATATATGCACTTATTATATAATCATTCTTCTTATGTGAAAGGCTAGTGCAGCAGATCATATAAACACCTGAAGTTAGCCATTTGGCTTGTCATCAAGGGAGGATTTATAGTAGTTGTAATCATGGTAATAACAAGGATGATATTTTGTGTTTATTAAGTACAGAAAAAAGCACTTGCAATGTAAGTGGTCCGCAACCAATTCATATCTGTGGTGTAATGAAAAGCAGTTTGAGCCTAGAAGACCAGCAGTCTCTCTGCTTTGCCACTTTTTACCTAGAAAAAACTCTTAACCTTATTGAACCTGATTGTTTAGAATGGGAATTAAAACCATAAAGGTCAAATGATGTTACATTATGTTATAAAGGTGGCATTCTATCAAAATTGTGCCATCTAAATGTCCTCAGCTGCTCAATACCTGTACTTTGTCCCTCTTTTTGTGTGTGTCCATATGTAGTAGGCACCTCATTAGGGAAACATTTCCAGGTTGTCCCAGACAATTATTATTGCTTTCTGTTTGTTTCTCTAATGCTTTGTGTATGTCTCTGTTACAGGCAGTATTTATCCTGCTGAGCTGTCTTGTTCATCTTTTCTGTTCTTCCTGGTTAGACCCTGGCACATAATAGGCATTTAGTAAATGTATGTGGAATGAGAAAGTAAATTGACAATTTTTTCATTTATAAACATGGATGGGCGAGATTTGTTTCCCTTTTCCCCCTAAAAGCAAGGAATCAGTCTTTCATCAAATTTTTATATTTATGCTTTATTAAGGGATTTTACAGATCATGCCTCTGGTACCATTAGAAGTCCAGTAATAGAGAACAAAAGATGTTTTAAAATATACAAGTATTGTAAGATACTTTACAAGTGAGGGGAGAGTAAGAAAACATGCCAAGAGAAAAAGACCATACTAGATAAGTCTATTGCATAAATCAAAAGGGTTTATGTCATAACATGAACATGTGCCATTCCTGCTCATACATTGAATTTCAGTAGTTGGTTGCATAAAGAAGGAAAGTGTAATGAAACTGGCAAGGAAAGTATTCCCCAGTCAGCCTTATCTTTGTTCCATTTGTCCTTCAGATAGAGCTTTTTTTTTTTTTTTTTTTTTTCCTTTTTCAATAAAATCCATCCGATGTGTTTTTTGTTTTTGTTTTTTTTTTTACATTTCTCAGTAAGTGCACTGAGAAGACCAGTGAGATTTGGGAACTTTATAGTTCTAAGCAGCTGCTTTTTGAGAGATCAAAACTTAGAATGCTGCTACATGGTATTAAGGCTCAACTATTGATGTGTCCCTATAGAGGATATTTTTGGGGGGGGGTGGAAAGAGGAAGGAGGAGAAAAGAGCAAAGGATGACCCCTTCGAGCACTTGGGAGAGTAAACCCCAATTTTCTTGTTTTCTAGGATCCTTTTTTCAAGCTCAGTGCTTAACCTGACTGAACTGGCTGCCCTTCGGCCTGACCTTGGGAAACTGAAAAAGATTCTGTACTTTCACGAGAACCAGTTGGTATATCCTGTCAAGAAATGTCAGGAGAGGGATTTCCAATATGGATACAACCAAATTCTTTCATGGTAGGTATGGATTGTATCATTGTATTTGGCCCTTTGCTACCTTTTTCTTTGTAGGTGGTTACATTTTAAACCTGGAGACCTACTGCTGTATACCTTTTTTTAAAAGCACCATAAAGTAGGTGCAAATATTTAAACAATTTTTCCTTCTGCAGTATATGTAAGATCACAGCTAATCATTTTATAAAAATACATATATGTAACCATCTAATTATATGTTGAGCTAATTATCTATTTTTCACAAGATTCAAAATAGAATTAAAAGGTTGGCAGGGGCCTTCACCCCTTGATTTCATGATCTATTGCTTAAGGCATTTAGAAAGGGCAGTTAGTCAACTCTTACTTACTAATCGTGATCACTGTATTCAGTAAAATCAATATGGAGTTTTATAGAGAAATGAAAATTAAAGCATACTGGAGCAACTTGGGGTTTTGCCTCCCCCTGCCCCACCTTTAAAATTTTTTTTTAATTGTACGACAGAGAAGACTGTCGAAAATGAATCTTTAGGTAGTGTTTTCTTTTTTACCTCATTGAGTCTTCTGAAATGGCACAGCCTTAAAATACCATGACATTTTGAAGGTGATGGTCCTTCTCTGTTGTTACTTTAGCAGAGTGTATCTCCTGAAGCTTAGTTAATGAAAGAAGTTAATAACAACTCTGAAATGGCTTTGCTATTGGATCCTATTCGTGTAACTGCAACAGTCAAACAGAATGTGTTTGTCAGTGATTTTGTACATTTTATTCATCTTTATTAACAGTTATCAGCAACTGGGATTGATGATGTGTTTAAACTGACCCACCAACTCCTCCAAGTATGTTTCATAGTTTAGTTGACATAAAAAAAAAGGCTATATTGTAATAATTCTGTGTTGTGTGGATTTTGTGAATGTTTTCCTACAATCACTTTTACAAGCTGCTTCAATTGTGAAGTAGCAGTGCTATCAAAATAGAGTGGAACTGCTTCACGTCAAATGTCTCATAAAAAAAGCAGCCGTTTTAAAATTTCATAATAAAATTAAAATACTTTATATTGAAATGGAGAATGAAAATATGTTTTAAAAGTGAAAATAAAATCATTTTGTGCCTTATCAATATGGAAAACATTTGTAATATTCTTTTGATTTCTTAAATTAGCATCATTCTTTTCCTCAGATAGTATGTGTTTATTACCCCTGAGAAATCACTGGGAAAAAAACTAAGTCTATTTTTCCCTTTATGGGTGGCTTTAAAGTTAATGGAAGTTACATCCACTCATATCAGGGAGGAAATGTACCAAAAAGGATATTTCTGTAAACTGTCTTGGATCTTTAATTTAGCATAGACTGGATTTTTAAGAATGTGAGTCATTGGGTCACATGCCCTTTGAGGGAAGCTATCTAAAAACAATTCAGCTCTCTATTCCTCCTCACTTTCATAAAACATTGTTTTTGCTCATAGGAAATGAGACTATAAAAGTTTTGTACGTGATTTTTTTTAGCATTGCATTTTCTCAAGAGGGTAAACTTATAGACAAGCTTGGAGAGAGAGAAGTGGACTTCATCATCAGTTGGCTTCTTAATGGGAAAAAAATGGTTCACAGTTGTCCAGAGGAAAAATAAGACTGTCAAAAGGCAGTCTGGTTCAAATTCTCTTTGAAAAGTATGACTCCTGCTTCCTCAAATGTTTCTTTAGTTTTCTTGCTGACTTCTGCTTTTTTGGCACTGTCAGATTTGTTTCTTGACTGTGTGGCAGTTAAGGACTTTAAAGATGACTGACATAAACACTCACCTTAAACAGAGGCTTCACTAACCCTCTGACTTATGAACACATGTCACAACTATATATTAGGACCTGTAGGTCGCTATTACAATATGTGACATATGGTGAAAACAGACTAGCTGTAAAACATCCTTCAACTTTTGGTATATTATTATATTGGCTTCCTTGTTGTGTCAGCACTTCTGTGACATTCCTTTGTATTATTCGTGTTGTAATCACCCGCACCCCCCAAATTTTCACTGGGTAGCAACTACTAAACAATACTTGTATGGAAAAGCAGTTGTTTCAGGGGAGGCATGTGAGTAGCAGACCAACACTCCTTCTGTTCATTTTTTATTCTGCTATATATTAATATTTTAATAGCAAATTTGGCTGTCTCAGCAAATATGACTTACACTAAACTGAGGATTGGCTACGGCATTCCTGTTCTGTAAGCTGTATTTGTTCTGTGGTGTTTTGCAGTCCTGTGGACATAACATGTCTTCTTTTCAGTATTATTGATCTATCATATTTAGTATGGAAGAAAACGAATTGCTTTGTCCCTTTAATCTTGTATACAGATGCTCCTCAACTTATATGATGGGATTACAGCCTGATAAGCCCACTATTATAAGTTGAAAATATTGTAAGTTGAAATGCATTTAGTACTGCTAACCTGCTGAACATCATAGCTTAGCCTAACCTACCTTCAACAGTTCAGAATACTTACATTAGCCTACAATTGGGCAAAATCATCAGGCAGCACAGTCCACTGTAGAGTATTGGTTGTTAACCCTTGGGATCATGTGGCTGACTGAGATTTGTGCTTCACTGCTGCTGCCCAGCATCGTGAGAGAGTATTGTGTACATACCATTAGACCACGAAAAGATCAAAATTCAAAATTCAAAGTATGGTTTCAATTGAATGTGTGTTATATTTTCACCATTGTAAAGTTAAACAGATCGTAAGTTTGAACCATTGTAGCTGCAGACTGGTATGTAGTTACATTTATTTTGTTTAATTTGAAGATCCATGGTGTTGCAGTGCTTTATAATTTATATAATATTATATAATCAGGACCTAGAGATCTGGATTTCTGGACCCATTTCTACCAATTTCTTCTATTGCTTTGGTTAGTCCAATATAGTATATGATAGTGAAACAAGTTATTTTGGGATACCATAACCCTTCCTGTATAGTCCCAGAACTTTTAAAAACTTAACACAGTTTCATGTAGTAAGGGCTAAAGGAAGAAGTAGATGTTAACCAAATAGTGCTGAAGGCATCATGCCCTAGTATGAAAGTAGTTTAGGTCTGAATTAGTTTCCTTGAAGCTAGTGAGAAGTGTGATGGATGTTCTGTTCTCGGTAGTATGGTGTAAAATGATGCACATCACTGACATAGAAATTCAAAATGGGTAGTTGGGCCATGAAGAAAAAGGAATTGCTGTACGTAATGTTGTTGATAATATAGAAAGTTCCTGGCATTGTGGAAAAATATGCTTTGGTTTGGAGTCTCATGCAATCCCATGAAATCATTCCATTTCCCTGTTGCCTTGACACCTGATGCCACCAATCAACTCCCTGTGATAAAACACTAATTAAACTAACTTAGCTATTAGAGACATTCTGATAGATACTGATGGAAAGTGAAGAGTTCTTTGCAAACCTAAGGTGTAGTATAAACTCTGATTAATATATAGAGGTCTTAGGTTTATAAAAATTGCTTTGAATGAGTCTGGGCTCATCATTTGCATTTGTCTTTTACCTTTATAGCCTGGTGGCTGATGTGGTTGTATTCAACTCAGTTTTTAATATGGAATCATTTCTCACTTCCATTGGAAGATTTATGAAGCTGATTCCTGATCACAGACCTAAGGATCTGGAAAGCATCATCAGACCCAAGTGCCAAGTTATTTACTTTCCCATCAGGTTTTCTGATGTGAGCAGGTGAGTATGTTTGACTCTGTTCTCAATATTGTGTCATAAATTATTCCTCAACTGTATAGAAATTGATGTTCTTCATGCCAGTTTTAACTTTTCAGCATAAGTATGGTTAATTAGAGAATTGAGTTCTATCTCACCATGCTGTGATTTACAAAGATTTTAAATCATCATGTGTCTAACCCATCACTAAATAGTTCAGATATTGAGTTCTTCCTTTCTTTTCTTTTATTTGTTTGCCAAAGTAGCTTGGTCTTTTGTTTCTTTATTTTTTTGTTACAGAAGTCATTGTCAAGCATATTTCTCAACCTTTGTGTTCAGCTTATTGATTTATACATATGATAATAACTATTATAGGTAAATCAGTGTTAAATCTCACTGCTTGGATTAGTTCATTTCCCATGCTATTTTTAAATTTTTTCTTATTTTTAATTATTTATATTATCTTAATAAAGAGTTAAGTCTTCTCTATTGGTTTACACATGTACCTAATTGCCATTTCAGTTTCTCAGTTACTAAGGACGTTTTTTTATTACCCTTGTTGCTGGGCCCACCTTGAATTAGCAATGGATGATGTGGCTCAAAGGGAACATTCTGGAATTCCTTTTCACTTTTGATTAAACCTAGTGAAACTGTTTTTACTACCTCTAGAAATATTTCTCCCATGTGAACAGAAAGTTTACTTTAGTAGGACTCACAGTAGCTGGAGATGCTGCTGTTTTTTATTGAATGCTTTCTTAAAAGAGTTCAGGAACAGCTGTTTCTTCCTCATCCCTGAAATGTAGGCAGGAAATGATTTAATATCCATACATGCTATGCAGGAGGTCAGCATTAATTTCTGTGTTCTACACAAGAAACTGTAGTCGTTATTTGCAACTCTATTACTGATTTATTTGAGTGTTTTATTTTTTAATATTTCACTGAAGAAAAATCTGCCCCATACAAAATCAGGTTAGGGAGTCATAAAATTTAAGTTAGACCATCTTGCCGAGTCTTTAGAGTACAGAAAATGGGCCCAGAGAAGTAGAGACTGGCTTGTATTCACCTTGTCATTGTCACAATCTGGATTAACATTTAGGCCCTATGACTTCTGATTCCAATTTCTACTTACCGTCCAAGCTTCCTGTCATTACAGGTCATTTGTCAAAAACAGATAATGATTTATTTGCTGTTCTGAAAACTATAAAGCTAAGTGGAGCCACGATCACAAACAATTTGAAGAATATATATGTAATTATGTATATTATCTATGTATTTATAGATATAAAGTTTTCTTGTGTGTGATGAGAGAACTTCAGCTTTTGAAAAATATAATAGTTATACTTGCCTATGATTAACTAGAACAGATATATATCTGCATTTAAAAAATATGAACCTTATATTTTGATATGTTTTAAGTTTTTTTAATATCATGAATAGGCAAAATGCATATCTATAAGTGAATAGGTGGTTATAGCTCATCTTAATTATTACTGCTAGAGAATTCTAAATAAATGTTTTAAAATTCACTTACATCCAATATGTTTCTATGTCATATGTTTAATATACCTGTGGCAGTTGAATAGTTTATTCATTTGGGCAATATTACCATAAAGGAATCTAGCTAAATAGAAAAAGGTTAAGAAATATTGTGGCCAAATAACATTCATAAGCAAGGTCTTGCCTAGAGTATTATTTGAATTATTTTCAAATGGTAATTTGCTTTGTGCAACCCAAACTCATATAGTGTAAGTAAGTGATTATTTGCATGAATGACAATCATTCTAATGCCTGCAGTTTCAAAACTATATTATTTTGTTGAGATGCTGAAAAGTATTTAGTAATTCCAAAGGCAAAATAATCAAGGTGATTTAAAAGTATTTTTGAATGCTTATATCTTTCTCCCTATCCATAGATCATTTGGTCATAGGAAAAATGAATTTAACTAAAAATAAAGCAAAAGATACAGTGAAATTATTAATCATTGTGCTATACAATATAATGGATATTAATTAGAGATGGGAGAAAAGCCATATTTCCAACAAAATAAATGAGGATTTATAGACTTTCTATCTGTTAAAACTCAGAGCATGTCTGTCACCTGGCATTATTGGTAATACTGGACTTATGGGACCCACTGCTACCGCTTGCCTTCCTCGCTGTTCCCCTGCCTCACTTCCGAAGACCAGATAAATAGTAGCAAGAGAGTGTATTCCTTGAAAACATTTCATTATATGTTATATGTGTTGAATATTTTGGGACGGGAAGGCTCTTAGATGCCATAGTTCCATACACATGTATTTGAGTTTTGACCAGCACTTTCTAGCTCTGTGATCTGTACCTGTGGATTGACCTTTCACTTAAGTTCATTAATGGTTGTGATTAATCCATTTCATAGGGATGATTTAGTGACTAAATGAAATAATGCATACCATGTACCTGGGATAGTGGTTAGCATACAATAGACCCCCAACAAAGGTTATTTTATCTTATTACTCCCCCCCAACTTCCAATTTATAACCTGGCATATTTATTGGCATCTGAATATAGAGGACTATCTTCCCTTCACCTCCCTCTGTCCTGTAATTGACACATGAATATAGAGAACTACCCTCTTAAAAGGTGAATCTAATATAAATAAGGAGATTGGTTTATTTATTTATTTTCTTTATCACCTTGAGTCAAACAATCCTTTGGCCTTATCAGACCCCGCTGTCCATTGATTCAGCCAACTTAATTTCACTCTTGTCCTATTTTCTCTTTCTTTGTCAGCTTAACTTTCTTATTCCATCATTATGTTTACTCTTTTGCATATCCTCTCAAATCTTTTACACCTTTTGTTTCATATTTGGTTGGTAAAAATCCTCATCTGTTTAAATCTATTTGTTTGTATACTCTCCCCCTATAATCATGGACTAAACATGACTGGAGAAAAGCATGTCATACTTATTAGCATGTTCTAAATGTGTGACTCCTAAATTCAGATGAGCCCTTCGAGCTACCTGGCAAGCATTTTCCTTCTTCTAGGTAATTAATCATGCCTCCTCCTATTTTAAGAACACTCTAAAAAATACCAAATCTTCTATTTTCATTCTCAGCTGATTACTGAGGAAATAGAAACAATGAGAAGAAAACTTTTATCCATTGATACTACCAGGTCCACCCAATTATGTGCTTCTTCTGGGTGCATATTCTCCATTTGCGCACCTGTTATTGGGGATGAACTGAACTCGCTTCTCTGTAAGGCCCCATCTCCGCTTCCTTTCCAGAACTTGTCCATCTCTCATATTCAAGGACTACTGTCCTAGCAATTTTTCCTGGCCTGTTCTGCATCATCAGTTTTTCTTTCTTCTGAATTATTCCTACATGTCTTTTGTCTGAATCATTTGTATTAACATACAAAAATGTTATTAATTATTACATCTTAAAATTTTTTTTCTCTTTATTCCAGGTCCCCCATCTACTACTGCCTCATTTCTCTTCTTCTCTTAGTAGCAAAACCTCTTAAAAGAATTAATTGTTTATACTTGTTTCTTCTAAGTTCCTTCCTCCTGTTCTGTGTTAAAACTGTTCCACTGAAATTGTTTTAGTCAGGGTCACTGCCTCTAAATCTTGTGGTCAGTTCTTACTCCGCATCGTACTTATCATAGCAGCAGCATTTGACACACTGTGACACATTCTTCAGTTGTCTTAGGATACATAATCCCCTGATTTTCACACAGACTGCTGCTTCTCAGGCTCCTTTGCTGGTTCCTCATCATCATCCTGACCTTTTAACATTGGAACCACTTTGGCATTCTTTTCTTTTTCGCTGTGGTTACCCAAACTGGAGTGTGATGGCACGATCTCGGCTCACCACAACCTCCGCCTTCTGGATTCAAGCAATTCTCCTGCCTCAGCCTCCCGAGTAGCTGGAACTACATGTGCGTACCACCATGCCCAGCTAATTTTTGTATTTTTAGTAGAGACGGGGTTTCACCTTGTTGACCAGGATGGTCTCTATCTCTTGACCTCATGATCCACCTGCCTTGGCCTCCCAAAGTGCTGAGCCACCGCACCTGGCCCACTTTGGCATTCTTTACACTTAAGGGATCTGTGGAGGAAGAGCCCAAGATTGAAGTGAAAAGAAAAAGTAAGAATCAAGAGGTCAACACTGAGATAATTACCCAGTGAAACAAAGGGGAGAGAGGTTTTTTTTTGAGATGGAGTCTCGCTCTGTCGTCAGGTGCCAGGCTGGAGTACAGTGGCGTGATCTCGGCTCTCTGCAACCTCTGCCTCCCAGGTTCAAGGAATTCTCCTGCCTAAGCCTCCCAAGTAGCTGGGACTACAAGCATGCACCACCACACCCAGCTAATTTTTGTATTTTTCAGTGGAGACGGGGTTTCACCATGTTGGCCAGGATGGTCTCAATCTCTTGACCTCTTTATCTGCCTGCCTTAGCCTCCCGAAGTGCTGGGATTACAGGAGTGAGCCACCCAGCCGGGGAGAGAGTTCTAAGGAGATAATCAGTAGTGAATTCAAAGCGGTGAGGTTAAGTAAAGTGATAACTTTAAAGTGTCCTTGAATTTGATAATTAAAAGGTCAGTGGCATCCACCCTGCATTCTGTTGAGTCACAAAAATGTTTCATGTGTATTCTCATGGCCAAAGAAACTTAGGATTTAGGTCTGGATGAAACCTCTGTTTGTCTGTCTCACACACACACACACACACACACACACACACACACCTTCTTATTTTATGGATGAAGGCAGCAAGACCCAGAGAAGTTACATGTCTTCTGGCAATCACATAGCTAGATACAGGCAGAGCAGGAACTAGAAGTTGTATCTCAAAATCTTCATCCAGTGCTCAGCCCACCATTTATTGTAAATGCAGTTTCGGAGGTCTTGATTATCTGATTTTTCATCTGACAGCAGATTAGCAGCATCAAATTAGGGGTGTGATAAAGGCAGGCTCACTGACAGCAGTAAAAAGTGACAGCTGACTGACAGCTTGACAACAAGGGAGGAGAGAGATAAACCATTTT